CGCCCTCAAGACGTGGTTGTTCCAGCAAGCGGGACTGGCCTAGGGGATTTTATAGGGGTTTTAATTACTTTTAATTGGACATTCTCAAATATTTCGTTTTAATTAAATTTTAATTAGGTGTAATATTATGTATGTTAGCTTTTTATCATTTGTCAGCCGCCCTGAGTCCGAAAGGAGAAGGGCGGGATATAAATGCAATAAATAAATAAATAAATAAATAAATAAATAAATAAATAAATAAATAAATAAATTTCTGTGACAGCTCATACAACCTCAACCCCTGCAGTACATTATTATGGCGCACTAGCAATGATTCAATTTTTTAAAATCATTACATATTACAGAGAATGGGAAAAAACACAAATATTTTAATAATTTAAACACAATTGGAGCCTTCAAGAATTCCCCATAAAGTGGAAAAAGAAGCAATAGTGTGGTACCCAGCATTGGAAGTGGAAGAATTTTCCCAGAACCGTTTTCAGATGTAACAGTGTGTGGCAATTTAGATATTACTGAATTTAACTCCCAGGAGCCCCAGGTAGCAGAGTACGATAAGGGATAGTAGTTGAACGAAATTAGCAATACTTAAAAGACTGATAAATTTGCTTGTTCTGCTTTAGAAAATTGAGGGGGGCAGAATATTGAGGCATTAATGTTGTTTCACATCCTGTGGCAGTATTTGAAGGACATTGGAGTTTGGAGAATATGCAACTATAGGTATATTTCCTGGTTTATCTTCTCTTGTCAGTCAGAGGACCCACTAACTTCACAGGAACTGGTCTGCAAGCTAAACTGATTTGGGGAGTAAACTGACAATATGAGGAAACATTTTTGCCAGAGATTGAGTAGCAGGGCTGAATCTTAACATGTTGAACATGGCTCCCACCATTATTTGCCACTAAGGGTCTAAACAACCAGATCAGATTTTTGTGAAAGAAAATAAAAATAATACTTACAACTACCTTAGGAGTTACCAAAAGGAATACATTATGAGGCAAAATGTTATTATCCCGCACATCCCATAATCTTACTGCTTTACGTATAACTTTATCACTCCACTGATACACACCAAGGCTGAAAGGAAGACAATTCAGTTGTTACAACTGGGAACCAGGATCAGTTCTTAATATGATCAATAAGCTGAGTCTCAACTATTGAATATATAAGTAAAGTAGCTATTGTATCTTCAAGACAACTGACTTCCAATGCAATTACCACTGAAAACTAGGAAGTAATTATGCTGTTTGCATAAGAACTATTTTTAATCATACCCACAAGTACTGTTCAGTGAAATCAGTTTTGTAAAAATTGCAAAGATCAGTATATACCTTTCATTAAATAGTGGCAATCCATTTGCATATCTAGGAGTCAAAGGATTTCCATCATCATCACGATAAAATGCAAAAAGTCCAGCGGAGAAACCCTTAAATAGAACCCCAAAAGTAGTTTACGTTATGTTTATTTAACCCACCACAATTGATAGAAAATTGCTAGGAAAAGAGGAAGAAAGATACAACTCCACATCAAGGTAGCCCTCAATTGGGATCGCTAATAGCATCACTAACAACATGACTATTAAACAAGACATCACATGACTGCACTAAATTTAAAATCCAATTTTTGGCACTGTCATTAAATGAATCATCGGTAGTCATTAAATGAGAACTTCACATGACCGCAATTTGCAACTTTGCTGACAGCTTCTTTATTGCCTCTGTTGGTTGGAAGCTGGCTTTGAAGCATGAAAATAGCGATTGCATGACTTATGACACTGCAGCAGTCATAAGTGTGAGGATCAGTCATAAATTTACGTTTTCAGCATTGTTGTAACTTTGAATAGTCACTAAACAGGGTAGTCATTAATTAAGGATTACCTGTATATGAAATATTCACAAAAACATAACCATCGCATAAATTCTAGCATAGTACAACATGAAGATAATATGACTAATTCCAAAGCAAGTATTAGGGCAATGCCTTATTTAGCCAATCTCAAAGATAAGACATTGAAAAAAACGGTGAATGAGAGAAGGTATAAAGACAAGTTAGGGAATTGGAGAGGACCAAAAATACTAACAATATTGAAGCTTAAATGTTTATAAACAGTCTTGATTTGCATCCTTTTCCTCTGGTGAACTACTACCATCTTTTCTTTTTCATCTTTTAATATTGTGCCTGCTATAGAGATCTAAAGATTGTGATCTTGAATATTTTACAGGTTTTTTGAGCCCTAATACAAATGCTTATAATTTTTTTTAGAAATTTTTCTTTATAGGATTTTAAAAAACATAGCATCAAATACCAGCTCTTACCAAAGCATGAATGATTTCATGTTTCACTGTAGACAACATGCCAATAAACTCCTGTGGTTGAGTTGAAATCATATTTGGACACAGATTAGCATATCCTGCAATTGGTCTGGAAAAATGGTGATACGTTATACAAAATGAGGAAATTAAAAATGTTAAGCTTCATTATTACATGTAAATTCTTTGTATTATCATAGCCTACAAATGTCTAATGAGAAGGAAGGACTCACTGGAGAAGAGCCTAATGCTGGGAAAGATGGAGGGCAATAGAAGAAGGGGACGACAGAGAAGGAGGTGGCTGGATGGAGTCACTGAAGCAGTAGGCGTAAACTTAAATGGACTCCAGAAGATGGTAGAGGACAGGAAGGCCTGGAGGAACGTTGTCCATGGGGTCGCGATGGGTCGGACATGACTTCGCAATTAACAACAACAAATGTCTTATATACAAAAATGTCCCTGTACTAACCTTTTCTCGTGCAAACATTAAATCTGTCGGATGTAAACTCAGAAAAGGGAAAAATGTTCTCTCTTATGCATGGACAACTAGAGTACCTGTATAGATTTATCTATGGACTTTCCTATCAAATATCCATTTTTTCCCTTAAGCTCACTTGAGATACTCACTTTTTACCGTGCTGAGAAAAAACTCAATACTAGTCATATAACCAGCGACACAGGCCATACAGAATATTTAGGATTTTCTCAGCTAGGGACACAGCCTATGGTCCTGAGATGACAACTCTTAGGTAAAACATTTCTCTCTCCAGACTCCAGATCTTTAATAATTTGATAAATTTGAAATTTGAATTAATGTGTTCATATCATGTATTTCCTCAAGAAGCTTTAAATAGTTTTCACACATTCGTTTCTGATTTATTTTTCCCATAGCAACTCAATGAAGATAGAGGGGAAGTCCAAGCATAAGACCACAATTCTATCACTGGGCCTCAAACGTTTTGGTCTGGGGGAGTCTTTAAATACTGACATGATATAGTTACTTTTGCAACAGAGTTACCATAAGTAAATTGAGTTTGTGGGATATATAGTGCTACCAGAATACAGCCTCACCTTGCAGGATACTCCTTATCACTTTTGTCTTTTCTAGGCAGATAAGCATATTTCTAAACAAAGACTGTGTTGCAGCCAACTATTATGTATACAGGGCCAGCAGATTCTGAGAAATAAAAATTGGTCTACCTTTTTGTTAAAATGTTTTTTTTAATGTTAAAAAAAAACACCTTGGGGTAGGAAGCATGAAAGATAGGAAGCATGGGAGACTCTGCAGGCCAACTCCCCTTCCCTCTCCCCCGGGGCACCACAAGGGGAATCTCTGTGGCATTAAACTATAAAATGTGGCTTCCTATGTAAGCTGTTTGTAAGCCGTTTAGATATCATTCTCCTATTATTCTAACATGGGAAAAACTCAGCCAGCAGGACTCACTTGGAATCCTGTTTCCTGCTGTTCTCTTCACTGAAGTTCTGTGTGACCTTTCCTGCAGTGTAATCACAGAACAATGCATTATCAACTGAAGATTGGCTGCCGGTGGCCTTCCGGGTGCGCTTCAAGGTGTTGACCATCATCTTTAAAGCGCTCCATGGCATCGGACCTGGATATCTTCGAGACCGCCTCCTGCCGCAGATTACCTCCCATCGGCCTGTACGCTCCCACAGAGTGGGTCTCCTCAGGGTGCCGTCGGCCAGACAGTGCCGGCTGGCGACCCCAAGGGGGAG